ACAGTAGGATGGAGATTTATGAGCTGGTAGAGAATCGGGGCATTGCTTCAGTTATGCAAAAGGATACTGCTGGTGTTAGTGGTGTTCAGATTAGAGTCTCTAAGAGGCAAAGATGATGTGATTGCAGTTTCAGACATCCCTTTAATTGCTAAAATGTCCTAGGAGCATTTGTGCTTAGTATTTAATTTAATAGCATGTCTCTGACAAATTGTAAGAGAGTTAATACGTTGTCAAAACACACTTGTGCAACAGATTTTACATTATTTAATTAACAAGCCTTCTACTGTTCAAACATACTGTAGTGAATGTTACATCCCAAACTGCAGAGTAAGTCAAGAACAACTTGAAATGCAAAGTAGGCTAAAGGCAAATCAATTAAAGTAATATAAAACATTAACTGGGGATAACTTGAGATATCCATGATGTAGAATATGTATTTTCTTACTACTGCTGGGTATTTAAATGTATATAATGAGAGACCATAATTCAAACATTGGAGTTAAAAGTACTTTTTTCTAAAATGTAAAGTTCTATTCATATTTTAAAATGATAGCTTTGTGTTTTTGATGAGAGCACGTTGCTCTTCTTTGACCTAAACTGGCCTCTGTGGTCTGCTGGGAAGCACCACTGGAGCAGTCTGAGGGTCAAGCATCACGCTCAAGGACACTTCAAAATGTTGTAATGTGCCAACATGTCTGAGCTCCAGGCTGAAGCACAATATGCTCTCGTAAGGACACACTATTATAGTCCATGTCAAATAAACAGGCAAAAGGATACACACACTCACACAAAGGAGAAACACTTGACATACATACCATACCGTCTATTACAGTACAATGATTTGACCTGTATATTGATTGCAATGCACTCTTGCAATATACTAATTTATATAAATAGTTATCACCGCAATAAATATTTAATTTGGTCTTAATTTACATTATTTAATTTCATACTCTGTTCTTGTACATATCCCATATTTTATTGACATGTATATAGACTTTTTGCACTAGTCTTTATTTTGTATTTTTGTATTTTATTATATATGTTGCATTGTTGGAGGAGATCAGGTCGGAAGAATGTCATTGCCATTACACTGTAGCTTTGTGCATATGACAATAAAACCTTTGACTCTTTGAATCTTTGAATTTGCGATTAAGTATTTGCTTAATATGTACATATATGTGTGTATAAGGGAACTCTAAAAAAAAAAAAGTGTTTCGCTCTAAGAAAGCATCAGGTGTTTCAGCAACTTGTTGTTTCACTAAAGATTCCTGATGTTATGAGAGGATGATACTATGGGGGGAAAGCTAGTCAACTAACCCCAGAAGATTATGAAACAGAGTTATGACATGTTGGACTGGCCTATTGCTGTGAAGGTCCAGGGACCAGTGACACTGGTGCAATTACTTGAGTGAGGATGTGAAGCAAATGATTAGTAAGTATGAGCAACCGGATATAACCTCAAACATCACCGCCCAAATCCAATAGACACGCCCACCACCTATAGTGACTAAAAAATGTGACCTAACAAACACAGAAAATACTTTACATGTGGCTGCTACAATTAGCTTTGTCACTCTTTTTCTATGGTCTCCTCTGAAGATGCTATTGATTTTAAGGTTATTTTTTGGGCAACGTCAAAACAGACAGTCTTTGTCTATTCTTTAAGCACTTTACTGGTAATGCATCTGCTTCTGAGCTCAGTTTTATCCCTGGTTTGTGTAAACATTGCTTCTTCATCGCTTCAGAATGTTTGAAAATGTTGTGTTTCCTTGTATTTCCATTCCCATTTGCATGTGCTTAATTCCTTAAAATCTTTATTCACCACAGACAGTACATATGAAAAGATTCTATTTGTAATGTTTGTTCCCAACGGTATCCATCTACGAGGTATTAAACCATGCAAAGCAGTTCACTGAGCTGTATGCAACCCTCCCGGAAGAAGTGTCCTCTGAGTGACTTCTTGAGGAGGAAATGAAACTCAAACAATAACACTCCAAATGAATTTGTGCGGGACTATTTATAGCTTGCGGATACTTGTGAAATATGAGTTAAATAAATCAGCTTTGTCTTTTGGAGGACATCACAGCATGCAGCTTCTGCCCTGTCAGAGAGATGCAGCTCATCGCACCGTTATATTTAGTGTGGCGAGTAATGCTGAGTGGCATTCTGTGATGATACAGGGGCTAAAAATGGCAGAGTGTCATGGATCACATGAATCCTGCCTCATTCTGTGAAACCAAGGTGAAATAATAACTCATCACAGTGAATAACGTGAATAAAACATGTGTAGGACAGCCTAAAGAGTGGATATGCGGATGAATAGACCAATGTTAGGTCAGTGTAAAGTGTTACAGAAATATTCAAATGGAGAGGAGATACAAACACGCTGTCTGAATTGTAGCTGTCAATAGGAAAAAGTCAAAAAGTCAGTCAGGTGGTGAGATCTCTGCGACAAGTTATTCTGCGGTGACAGATGACATTTCTGTGAGGTTGCATCTGGAGTAGTCTGGCGCTGAGGCAAAGCTGGCCTTTCACTCTGACTGCCTAACTAGCATTCATCAGGAAACCTCACACACTCATGCAAACACACACATCACCCACACAGGCATAAGACTTCTAAATGGCAGCTGAACCTCTCTTTAAGGTATTGGTTTGGTGGTTTTTACTACAGTCTTCACTGTCTGCAGAGTCTTTGCACGTTTATCAATGAATGAATAGGAATGTTTGCTCTCCCTTTTTCTTCTTCTTCTTTCATTTCCTTCAAAAAGGAGATGGTCAAATACAAGAAAACACTATCTTAAGTCCATAAGCTAGTTCCGCAGTTGATTCTGCTTCTTCTGTCTTTTCCTTCATTATAGCTACTTCAGTCCTTTCCTACTCTCTTCGTCCTTCCTTTGTTGCCTCATTGCACAGCTGACCATGTGACCGCTCACTGTCAGTGTGTCCTCCCTATTCAAATGCAGACTGACCTCCACTGCATGCTTCCCTCCCTTCATTCTGGGCTCAGAAGTACAGCAGCAGACATGCATGGAGGCCCAAAGGGTGGCAAAGGGATTTTCCCCCAGCGATTCATTTGAACTTTTCCTCTCTTTGAAATGGCATCACAGACCTATTGCATGATTAATGTCGCCACACTTATATACGCTGTTCTACAGAGAGAGCCAGCTCAATATTTGAAAACCAGGAGCGGTTCAAAATGGCCGTGGGCAGGTCTGGGGTTATTGTGGTTTGATTGGCAATCAGCTCGCTATTCAACCTTTACAATTGTCCATGTAAGGTCATACACTCAGGTGATGGACACAGCCACCCACTATCTTAGTGCCACTGCATTTTGACAACAGTTTACAGACTGAATGGCTAATTAATGGATATCAATACAGTGTTGTAAGAAGGGCCAATGTGAATGTGTAATTAGGGGAAAAGTCTTCCACACAGACGAGGCAAGAATTAATTTTCTGCAAATGTATTTCATTGGTTCAATGATCATTTTTAAGTTTGCTTGTATTTGGTAGAGAACGGATCTTTATTGTGTGCCTTTCTTTAAAAAAATCAAAGGGGTCATCATCCAATCAGTTCTGCCACAAAGACACATGCATAGCTAAACCCAAATTTAAATGATTGTTTTGTTGACTGTGACAAAATTAATACGTACCCTATTCATGGAGTGGGTTTGTTCTATGTGCTTAGTGTTTGTGCAAACTGAAACAGCACTTTCTGTTTGTTTTGGAGTAATATTGTATAACTTGTGATAACATACTATAACTAGAAAAACTGAGATAGAATAAGACATTATAAGTAAACTGAAATGAACACGTTTTATTTAGAAAAAACTGTCTACAAAGTGAAAGAAACAACACCAAAATAACTATTAAGTACTTTCGTCATTGTTGAAAACGTATCCGAGTACAGAAAGTGGTATTGGGTAATACATTAGATGTATGGACTACTTACAGTACATGAAGTGCACAACCCATTTGTTACACAAAGTGACTACTGACTGAAAATGTTGCTTTCATCTCTGAAATCAACAACCGCAAAGCTGAATAGCATCTGTAATCTGCAACTTCTTGTGTCAAAGTATACTACATCGAGAAACTAAACCCTGAACTAAAGCCCCCACACGGCACTGTCCAACGCCTCAAAGAACTACAAGCTTGTAGGGGGCTTGATTATTTTTAGGGAGGATATGTGGAACAGCAGTTTATTATCAAGGGCTGAGCCTCCAAGAAGCAGTCCTACTCGTGGGTAGCATCTATTAAATAACCCAGTGTGTTATCTTATTTTGTGACTGACCATAGCAGCCTTGACTGTCCAATATTATCTTCTAGTGCTGTGTTTTCTTGTTAATCCCACGCTGAGACTCTGATGCTTCGTTTTGCATTTTTACCTCTGAGACTAAACAACAAGATCCATCCAGTGAGAGCAAGCAATGAGAACTTTTCTAATTATTGCAGCAATTATAATCATGCTTGTGTCACAGCAACGCCTCTCCGGGCTCTGTGGTCCCATTGCTCGCTGAACGGGCCCACGGTGGGAAAATGCTAATCAACTTCCGGCCTCATCAACTTATTGGTGACTGGGGTAAAGCAAAAGAGCCTCTTCACTCCTTTCAAGGGTGGATGTAATCAGAAGCAGCATCTATCCATATTTTCTACCCGGGGGAATGGGGAAAGTACAGAGCTTGTGCAAAAATGCTTCATGTAACTCCCCTGCATGGGAATACCATTTGGATTATAATTGGATATAAGAAGTGAAGCCCTATGTGTTTGATTGGCTTCATCAAATAGTATGCGTGTATGATTGTCAATCATTGTGATTTCCCCGGTATTTTCCCAGAATCTCTGTCTTTCTCTCTCTCTGTGAGTCCACTTATCCACATCCAGGGAATCCAGTTTGCCAAAGCCAACTCAAAATAGCAACCTATCATACAGAAAAAGTGGCCCGACATACAGCACAAACATACACATACATCAAACACAATGAAGTGCACCTCCTACCTCTTCCCATTGGTGGATGTAGCGAATGAGTCTGGAGAGTCGCAGGAGCCGCAGCAAGCTGAGGATCTTTGTGAATCGGACAATCCGCAAGGCGCGCGCCGTCTTGTAGAAATCAGAATCGATGCGCGTCTCCACGATGAGGAAGATATAGTCCACAGGAATGGAGGAGATGAAGTCCACCACAAACCAACTCCGCAAGTACTTGATTTTGATCTGTTGCGGATCTAGAATGATCTCTGTGTTGTCCTCCTTGACGATGCCCGTCCGGAAGTTGAGGACCAGGTCCATGAGGAAGAAGGTGTCGGAAACCACGTTGAACACGATCCAGGGTGGCGTGTGCTCGTCTTTGAAGAACGTGATGCCCACAGGGATGATGATGAGGTTGCCCACCATCAGCAGCAGCATGGTCAAGTCCCAGTAAAACCTTATGAGGGAGAGAAATTGGAAGAAGAGAAAATGCTGTGAGAACCAAGTAAAATGCTCCAATCACTATTGGCAGCATCCTGTTTAGTTAGCGACCAGGTAATGCTAAACTTCTGTGCAAAAAGTAATTTGATAGGGACTGTATGATGTATGATACACTGTATGTGCATCCCTTTGAATTAAACATTGTATACTGATTGCAACACTTATTCCAAATGCTATTAAAAAATAAAACATAAGATGCAACAGGAACGATACAAGTTACTTTGTCTAAAGCACATGTGTCAAACTCAAGGCCCGGGGGCCAAATCAGGCCCACTCAATCCTGAGGATTTCCTCCGCTCAGAGCCTGACCCCAAACATTGATGAACTTGCACCCAAGATGAGATGCCAAGTATCTGGCTTGAACTAGCATCACAGAGCAGCACACTGAGTTTACATGTTTCCTTCTGCACTTTCTTTCTTGAGACAACAGCGCATGTTTGTTTTTTTCTTTGAGGGAAATTTTTTGAAGCTGTTGTTGGCCTGTGGAAAAATGTAATCATAAGAAATGACCCTGGAAAAGCTGCTGATAGAGCCATAAGAAATGAATGCAACTGATTATTTAATGTGTAATGTTGTTTAGTTCCACGTTTAATATGTGCAATAAGTTCATTTCAATAAGTTTTGCAATAAACATTGAACCAGTCCGGCCCTCCACTAGTACCGATTTGTTTATTTTGGCTCACTGTGTATTTGAGTTTGACACCCCTGGTCTAAAGCCTTCACTATATAAGTCTCTCATTGCTTTCCAACTAATTGAAAAGGTAGGGATATATATTTTTTTGTATAACTCATACTCTTAAGATGCATTCACATGAAAAGTGGTGAAACTGCTCAGCGCTGTCTGTGCAATTGCTAACCTATGGAGAGATTGGCAACACCAAACAAGGTGGAAATGCTATTCTTGGCATGGCGCATTGCTCGAAATTGCTACAGATTGCTGCCCTCAAATCATTTCAAATTTGACCCTTACAGCGCAGCCAATAAGAAAACAGTTGTAAGTGCAAAGCCAGAGGAGACAAAAAATTGGGCAGTAACTACAGAAACAAAACTGCCTTCAATAGGAGGCTCTGCGCCCTAACTCACAACGAATGAAGATAACAATTCCTATCAAGTGAAGGCAGTAAACTAATGACACAAGAGTCAAAGATACCAAAGACTAATTTGCAAGTGTTAATAGAGTGCAATGTCTTATTATTGTGATATTATATTTCCTGTATAGTATGTTTTTTTTTTTTACTGAAGACACTGACCTTTACGAAAAGTGCAATAAGTACATTAAGGATGGTTGAATTCCTGGCGTACTTGGTGTGGGGGAAACTTCTGAAGCAATTGGAAACAGGACTCAGAGAGACACGAGGAGAGCTGGAGCTTTGATGGCAAACATGGTTTATTTGGAGTTACGGCCGGAGAATTGACAAGACAGGTGGTGTGTCACGAGTTGACACAGCGGTTGCCAAACCAACTCTTCTGCAGCTCAAGGTTTTAACTAGTTCGGAGTGTAATAATCAACATTCTTCATCAGCGAGAAGCAATATGGACCCTGAATCTAACTAGAGCTCTCGTCCATAGGAAAGAATGTGCGCCAGGGAACCTACGTCCCTGAACAGTAAACTACCTCATGGCGGCTTGTGCTCTGTCATAGACTGGCAACAACAATGTGCCCAAGCTGCTCCTCCTTAAGAGAGATAGCAACAATACCCAAGGCCGTAGACCTATGCCATGGGAAAAGAGACAGTAAAGAGAGAAAACTATGAACTGTGTCGAAGGTTGAATACCTACTGTAAGCAAATTATTCCCTAACACTTGGATTATATACCTGCATTATCATGTATAATTTGATTACGATACGATAATAATTTGTCAGATCAAGTCTGAAACCGTTCTTGTATCACAGCAGCTCCATTTGCAACATCAACAAGGACAGAAGTAAAGGGAAGAAACAAGGAAACAGACATTTAACATATCATCACGATTCAAAACATTTTTAAATGCCATAACCACAAAACACCACCATGCTTTAACTGCTTTGCAATTTTACAGAAGTTTACAAATTGTTATAATAATAATAATCATTTACGTACTGAAGATCTCTGCTTGAGCAACAAGGGATGAAACTCACTGTGACTCATCACAAGTTTGTTCTAACCTTAGATACCTTGTTGTGCATGTGTGTTGGCAGCGAGCGTATACACCGTAAAAAAAAACGTAATAACCTTTACATGATATGTTACCTCCCCAGCGTGTCAGACGGCAGCTTGACATAATAAGCTATTTGTGTTTTTACTGTAAATCCTAACTTAAAGGTCAAAGAGGGTTAACTGTTAATTACAAACTGTACTGTGAACGCGTCTGTCTTCCAGGCCGGAGAGTTTGGATATAAATTGTTCTCTCCGCCGGCTTGGTAATTGAATCCAGATTGGCTCTTTTGTGTTGAGGGCGATATATCCTGGTAGCTCTATAGATCGCACCATGAAGGGGGTTCTGCATGGAGGAGTGGGATGATTTACCCACCTGCCTCCGACCGGGCCAAAAATATCTGTCTCTGCGCAAAACCAATTTCAAGAGCAGGGCCATAAAAATGAAGGCAGAAAGGATACCACAAAACATAACCAGTGTAGGATATGCATTTTTACTGCAAGCTAGCAAGTCTACCGCAAGTAATTACTGCTCTTTCACGTCCTTGTTGCAGCTGATGTCTATTGATTTCAAGCTTGATTCCCAGTTTGTTGAAGTAAGTAACTCGCGGCTTTACAATGAACAGCTGCTCTGCGGGATGACACAGCCTGATCCAAAACGTCCTCTGGCCCATGTCGTGTCAAGTTAAGGAAAAATGTGCTCATCAGTACAGGTACGGTCTGCCTCGCAGAGCAAAAACAAAACCTGTCTTCCAATTTTTTTCTCATGAGATCTTCTTGTTCTTTGAAGTGTGCTTTGCTGGATGTGTACGATTGATCATTTTATTGAAGATAAGTTAGATATTAAACGGCCTTATCTCTTTAAAGTCCTTTGAGACATGTTTGTGATAAAGCGGAACAACTTGAGGTGGTTTTATCCTTACACCTTGATACTACTATTAATGCTTCTGAAATTATTATTTTCCTACACTGCTGTAATAAACGTTATAATTCAAATGGTGAATACTTGGTCACATACATAATTTATTCATGCATATAATTTAAAAAGGTGTACAAATAAAGTTATAAATTATTATCATTTTGCTGCAATTATTGTTCTATGAGTATTGAGTCCCTACATTTTTATCATCAGAGCATTTCCTTGGAATTTAAACTAAGACTGGATTTTAAACTTTACTTAATTTAAAGGTCCCATGTCATGCTTTTCCGGTTATTACCCGTCCCCTTGTGTGTTATGAAGGTTTTTATGCATGTAAACGGTCTGCAGAGTCAAAAACCCTCAAAGTACACCCTGTAAAACTCTAACACAGAAAATACCTGTCTATGCTGCCCCAGAACGCCTCGTTGGAGATTTCTCATTTTCCATTGTTTGCTTCCTGGGTTCTGTGACGTGAACACCCAAATCAACAACAAATGACCAAATGGACCAATCCGCGGAGCACCTCACACACCAGGATCCCTTGGCTAACTAACAGGGAGTCCCCATTGACTTGCATAGAGCTCCCTGAACGCTGGTAATAGACGAGTTGGGATCGCGGAGAAATGCTCTCCGCAGACCCATTCTCACAGCTGTTTGTGTGTGCTCAGGATGAGTTTCGCGTTGTCTCGCTGTATCGCCGACCCCGGAAAACTGTCCGCTCCTCGCAGCAGCTCGCAGCGGCGAGCAGCAACGAGCCTCGCAACGTCCCGACCAATCAGAGCACACTGGGCTCACAGGGAGTGGGGGCAGGAGCTCCAACAAGCCGTTTAGGACAGAGAGTGAATACCAGGTGAATACACATACAGAGATGCTGTCTGAGAAACCAATGTGATTTTGGAATATTGCACAATTTAAATCTATTCTAGTAGACCTCAACAATGGAAATATGATCAGTAGAAATGTCCATGACATGGGCCCTTTAAATTATGCAATCAGGGTTTTCCTATCCTGCTCTGTTAACAGCTATCGTTTAATTGGTGCAGAATAACACTTTGATTTGTTTTCTCTTACAATGTTCTATTTTCTCTGAACACCATTACTGATGGATTATGGAGGGGAAATAAAATACATCAATGATGGCCAGCACTGTATTCTTCATGTTTGTTTGTCACGGTCGCATTAAAATTCAAGGATCTCATTCCCACTAACACATTAATCTGTGGACCAATTCACTCTGAATAAATAATACCTGTGAAATACTGCAAATCTACTCGGGCTGGTTTGGACAGTAGCAGACGATTGAGTGGTAATGTGCTTGAGTTACAGTTTACAAGAGCATTTCACACTTATACGTGTGTACATACATATATAGTGTACACACAAACATCTCAGTTTCATGTCTATTGCACACACACGCACACACACGCACACACACTGGAGATACAGTGACAGTAATTGGAATTCTTCAAAGTAAAAGGGTACTGTTCCAGCTTGTTGTCAAGTGGAGTTATTTTTAGACAGACCTTGCCACCACTGTGTTTGCTCATGTTAAGAGTGAAAGCCCAAGAGGATAAGAACAATTTCAAAAGAAGAAATGCAAACGTAATGACATTTGTTCTTCATATTGCCATGTTCTCTAATATTATAAATGCTAGATAGCCTTTGCCCACAGACGACGCCATAGCCCTCACCACAGACGACGCCATAGCCCTCACCCTCCACACTGCCCTCTCACACCTGGACCCGAAGAACAGGAACACATATGTGAGAATGCTGTTCATTGACTACAGTTCAGCATTCAACACCATTGTGCCCTCCAAGCTGGCCATCAAGCTCAGAGACCTCGGGTTCAACAGCGCCCTCTGCGACTGGATCCTGAACTTCCTGACGGGCAGACCCCAG